TTATATCATTCCATTTAGTGATAAATGGGGAAGATCTGTAGCTCAGTGGAAGAGTGTCTGCTTGGCATGCTGAGGGTCCTAGGCCCTCCGGTTAATGGTCTGGCGGTAGGTGATGTGAAGGGCCTTTCTCTGCCTGACACCTTAGAGAGCTGCTGCCAGTCTGAGTGGACAGTACTGACCTTGATGAACCCAGGGTCCGATCCACTATAAGGCAGATTTGAGGTGCTCTGTTACACACACACCCCGGGACAGGGGAAATGATGTGATTTCAAATTATTCTTATGTCTTCAGTGCAGCACCTGAAGAGACACCTATGATAGGCCCAAATTCAGGGACTCATAATACATGTCTTTTGCTTGGCAGTTCTGTGTCTTGACCACTCTACTGTTCCTGCAGGCAGTACCCCTCTTGTTGAAGAGGGAAGTTTCCAATGGTAGACTTCCAGTGTTCCCTTTCACAGGGTTTATACTTAGCTGCCTCTCAATGTGTGCAGAGATTAGTGAGGCCTATGTACAGCTTTTATATTAAATTTTCCCTGCCACTTTGACAGATCTTATTGATCTTTTTCGAACCAACCTGCCTGAATCCTCCCCCCCCCCCGTTTTACTAAGATTGTCAGATCTTTCAGCTTTCACTGCTGCGTTTCCTAGCATTTTTACATATCTATATGTGACATGATGGGCATACTCTGGTTTTAGTGCAAATGCTCCATAGAGTTAAAGGAGGCACTGTAATCATGTTATAACTGACTAGCAGACACCAGTTCCCTGGTATTCTGATTGGAGGTCTGGGCTACTTGGCATAGCCCCACAATGACAGCCCAGATCCTGGCTTTTATGCTTTATTCCCGACAATAACCTTATCGTTGAGGAATGCACTTCTAATCCCTGACAAAGACAACCTGTTATGCCTTTTTTCTCTGCCTATATTGCTGCACAAATTGCTCTGCAGACTACACGTTTTCTTCCTTGTGCATTCTGTCCATCCTTTCTTTAGCCACATCACACCACTTTTCACTGCCTCCATTGCCATCATGCAGTTTTGCTTATTCTCACTCCTGCTGATGAATTAATGCATTGATCTTCTCTTTTCCTGCATTGTAGCAGTAGCCTCCCACTTTTCTGAGTGGCAAACATCACTCTTGTACCTTGCACCTCTAAGTGGAGAGGAGAGTCTCTATAGAAACTGCAGCAAGGTTTGGACCCTGCTTCTTATGCTGTTGAATGTTTTTGGCAACTGATTTAAAAGAAAGAAAGACCCTCTCTGATCTTTTCCTTGTTGGATTACTAAGCATACTACAAAAGACGGGTATAACCCCTTGTTTTATTTTTGGCACTTACATGGTGCTTCGTTTATTATAGGGTTCTAACTTATACCCTCTCCATGCATGAAATTTCAAAAGGTGATGTCCTGCTGGAATCCCCTACCAAGGGTGGTCTCTCACTCCTCACATAATGCATGGTCAGCATCCTCACACAATCCATCCTTGTGGGTCGGTTGACGCTATCACACTGTGTTTGAGTGCACAGCCTTTCATTACCACTCTGTGTATGATGGCTCTTTTCAAAGGAGTGCTCTCTTTTTTCCTTTATCACATTCCCACATGTATTTTGGTGGGGACACTTGCACAGAGCTTATGGCTCTGGTATAGGAGAGTTCTGGGTGAAGGTCAATTTGTGCCGCTAAACAACTGTTGATAAAGCGGTCCTTGTGGTCTCCTTCTGAGAGCTTCACTCCCACCTCCTTCACTCTGATCTTGCTAATCTCCCATGTGGGACTGCACAGAAGCCACGACGACGAAAACAAGGTTGCACTTACGTGTAACCGTTGTTCATCGAGTGGTCTTCTGTGCAGGCACACATCCCTCCCTCCTGCCCCGCTGTGAACTCTCTGGAACTTTAGTTTTCTAGGTGTCAATTAACACCATGTCTTTGGAATGTGTGGGGAGTGATCCTCCTCCCTGGTACACTAATGATGTCTCCTGGGTTGTTATCTGTATATGCTTTTCCGAACTTGGAATTCCAGCTGCTCCTGACCTGCTGGGAACAAACGGCTCACTTTTCTCCCGCTTACTTTTCTCCCCCGCGCGCGGGACCATGCACAATGCTTATTGACTTCTGCTTGTAATGGGGGGTGCTTTGAAACTACTATAATTTTGGGTGTCCTGCTGCTTTGGGCCATTCCTGACAAAAAACTTTCAAGTGTCATAGTTAAGAACTACCAATAAACAATACTTCTTATGAAGCACTGTGTGGTGTGATCTGACTATATAACCTGACAGATTGTCAGGAATCATCTACCCCTCGAACCGTATCTCTCTTAACTGAGATGAGTGACGGCGAGGAAGAAACGGTCCCAGTGACAACCGAGGGGACTGTGCCAATGACCACCGCCCCCCCCCCCCCGATGGTGCCGAGCACCCTACCCCAGGACCTGGGTGATGAGTCGGATGTCTTCCCACTGGGGCCAGTGGGGGGGAACGAGGCCGCGTGTGACTATGATCCTCCGTGGCCTGTGATGAGGCAAGTTCAAAACAGACACCCAGGAGACGTGGATGCTTACTCCGGGGCCACACTCAGGGAGCTGCTATGACCAGTCTCGAGGCCCGCAGCCCCGAGAGGGGGGAGAGTCAGTGTATTGCGGGCCGGGCGAAGACGAGGATTTCGTGGGCCTCCGTTTGGAATTACTGGAAAGGTCCTATGGAGACATGATGAAACGAGTGGAAGAATCACTTCTGAGCATCCCACAGATTGTAGCCGAGGTGGTGCAGCATGAAATCCGTCTCCAGCAATGGCAGCAACCGGCGCAACCCGCCCCAGGAGCGCCAGTAGTACCGGGGATTCCGGGGCAGCAACCGGCTCTGCCAGCCCTCCTTCCCCCCACAGACCAAGCGCCAGAGCCTCGACCCTGAGATGGGCCAGAGGTACATAAGCCGACTGAGCTATTGGATGCCACATTCGATAGGACACGCAAGAAGTTGGCGTTCTTTGTGGTACGAGCGGAGAAGTTTATCACTAACTGGGGCCATCTGTTTCCCATCGAAGAGAGGCGCATGGACTACATTGCCTCGCATCTACGTGGAGGCAGTGGACTGGTACGTGAGCCTTCATAATTCGGAGGGCCCCGAACTCGAGCGAGTGGACGAATTCATGTGGGCTCTCCATGTGCAGTATGAGGACCTGAATGCTAGTGAACACGCACGTGCCTACTTGTGCACCTTTAAGCAAGGTAAGAAGATGGTGTATGAATACACTGAGGCGTTCAGTAAGCAAGCTGCAAAGATCCAGGGCTGGCCGGATGGCGTGATGGCTGAGCAGTACCAGCTAGGTCTGCACCCTGAGATTCGCGAGACAGTCCTGCGTAGTGTGCAACCAGTGTCCCTCCATGCCTGGATGCAGGAAGCGGCTGACATGGAGAGCCGCCTGAGGACCATCCGCATAGACAACGTAGCCAACCTGGAAAAGGTCGGACCACCACCGGTCAAACCCAAGACCCCTAAACCCAAAGAGGGCTTGCGGGACCAGTGCATGAAGCAAGGTTTGTGCCTGAGATCTGGCAAAGCGGGTCACTTTGCTGCTGCCTGCCCGGGAGGGGGAGCCCCGACGGTACCCAGGAAGGATCCAGAGAAGAAACGGGTGGACATTCCAGCACGGATGCATGTGGACCGGCTGAAATTCCAACGGGCGCTGCAAGCTGAAGTTCCTGCGGAGGAGCTACTCACAAGTAGCGATGAAGAAGACGAGCCAGTGAGAAAAGGGCAGGACCTGCAGTTAGTGGTGCAGAGCAGCAGATCCCTACTCCTGAGGCACCTAAGACAGTGAGCAATTATCCCTCCCTCTTCTTTGTGACTGTGACTATAATGAATCCTGAACTCAGGACTCATGTCCAGGTATGGGGCTCGATAGACTCTGTGTGTGGACGGGACCTAATCAACCATTCCCTGGTTATGGGGCTGGGAGCCAAGGGAAACTCCAGGATCCCATTGTGTTTACCCAGATGGATGGGTCTGCTATGAAAGAACCTTGCAAGTACGAGACTGTGCCTTTACAGGTTGGGGCGGGAGGCCATTGGGAACACCGACCGTTTGTCATCACCCAGGCAGGCTACACGACCACAACCCGTACATCCTGTGGGACGAGGGCAAGGTCCAATTTACCTCTCACAAGTGGTCTGCAGGGTGGGGGGGGGCCCTCCTCTAGATGAACCGGTACGAGCATACCTAGCCAGGGAGGAGTTCAATACCATTCCCCCAGAGTATCGGGACTTGGCTAGGGTTTTTGAGGAGGAAGAAGCTGGTGAATTGCCACCCCACCGCCACATGGATTGTGCTATAGAACAGATCCCTGGCCACAAGTTGCCTAAAGGGAAACTGTATGCGATGAGCCTCAGTGAGAAAGAGGAGTTGCGAAAGTTTATTGACAAGAATTTGGCTCAGGGCTTCATTCACCCTACATCATCCCTGTTTGCGGCCCCGTACTTTTCAGGAAGAAAAAGGATGGGGGGTTGAGACTCTGCACCGACTATAGAGGCTTGAATACGGTCTCCACTATGAACGCTTACCCCCTCTTTGGGTTTAGGGGACTGTGCTACACTGAAGGGGACTGTGTTCTTTCGTCTCATCTGCAGTCTGGTCTCACAGAGGGGACAGGCTGGTCTGGTGAGAGAAAGATCCCAGCAGGAGGACCTATTGGCTGAGGCGGCCAAGGGGAAAGTCTTTTTCAAGCTTGATCTCTGGGATGGGTATTTCAGGGTGAGGATTAAGGAGGGGGACGAGTATAAGACTGTGTTTAACACTCCACTGGGGCAGTTCAAGTACCAGGTAATACCTTTGTTTTGCAAGGGGCTCCTGGGGACTTCATGAACCTTATCAATGAAATGTTGCACAAGCACCCTTTCAAAGTAGTTATTGTTTAACTAGATGATATCTTACTGTACTCCCCCGACAAATCATCCCACATGAAATTGATGCGTGAAGTATTGCGCACATTGTACAAGCACAAACTGTTTGCCGAACTCTCAAAGTGCGAGTTCTATTGTACCGAGATAGATTTCCTCGGCTATCACATCTCACCTAAGGGGTTGGAGATGGACCCTATCAAGGTGTGGGATGTACTGGGGTGGGAGCCGCCTCGCACCCGGAGGCAGCTTCAAGCGTTTCTCGGATTCACCAATTTTTACAGGATTTTTCTCACAAATTTCGCTCAGGTGAGCTTACCGCTCAACGATTTGTTAAAAACTAAAGGAAAGGGACCTGAGAGTATTTGGCCGAGTGACAAGCTGACGTGGTCGGTCGAATGCCAGGAGGCGTTCGATCGTTTGAAGGCTCTGTTCATGTCTGAAATGTGCTGGTTGTGTTCTTGTTTTTCCTAGACTTTCTTGTCACTGCTCATAGTAACCCTTTGAGGTAGGCTAGCCTAAGGGACTATGACTGACAGTAGGCTCTGCTGTGTTCAGGGTTGGTTACTTCCATGCAAGTGTGCACAGGATAGCAGTATAACATTAGAATTCTTGCCTGGGTTGTGTTGCAAACGTTTAACAGATTTCAACCACCCACTTTCACAGTCTCCAATGTATTTTGAATATTTTTTTTTCAGAAGAGTACCTTGACTAATTTGAGGGTTGCATTGCAGGTGAAATTGCAGCTTTGGTCTTGGTGGCAGCTCTTTGGGGAGGAACCAACCCATTTCTGAAAACAGGCACTGAGGGGCTGGAACAAGTAAAGAAGGAAAACAGGGCACTGCAACTGCTGGCAGAAATGAAATTCCTTTTTCTCAATTACAAGGTATGATATGCTTCCCAATCAGTCCTTTGAAAGTTGCCTAAGGCTGCAATCCTGTGTATGTGCTCACTTTTGAAGTAAGTCCCTGTCATGATCTGTGCAGGACTGGGAGCAAGGCCTAGTGCGGCCTGGTCCCAGGAGAGACCAGCATGGGAGTAGAGAGCAGACAGCCTACAATCCCCATAATGCTTAGAGAGGGTTATAGCCAGTCAGAGTTCAGAGATTCTGTGAGGAGATTCTGACAAGCTGTTAATTGTGGGGAAATGGTGTTCTTTCCTCACTCAGAGCTACACTGAAGGGGACTGTGTTCTTTCGTCTCATCTGCAGTCTGGTCTCACAGAGGGGACAGGCTGGTCTGGTGAGAGAAAAATCCCAGCAGGAGGTCGAGTATAAGAAGGCTGTGGGTCTGGAAGTAGTAACCAGTTAGGAGTAAATGGTAGCTGCATTAGATTCTGTTTATTTTGCCTTTTAAACACTGTTATGTATTTTAAAGCACCTTGCCTTGTCTTGTTTTTCCCCTGCCCAGTGCTGTAATAATAAACCCTTTTGTTAATTGTTTCTCTGCCTTGGTCATCATGCTTACGTTTCTCGGTTTAAAGGGGGCATTTTGGAAGGGGCTTGGGGGGTTACCCTGGTCCTTCTCAAGGGACCTAAGTCCAGGGTGGTGGCAGCAGAAAGTGGCGACCCCCTGGGGTCATGACAGTCCCACTGAATTCAATGGAACTTCCTTGCAATTATGCATGGAAAGGATTCTGGCTGCAAGTCTAATTATTTCCTAACTCCTATAGAATTTTCACTGTTATGGGTTTGATATTGGGAAATCTGTTTTTAAAAATTCCTATGTAATGTTTCCTTTCATAAAAACAAGATTAACCCCTATGTTGAGAAACTACAGATTGGGGGCTCCAACCAGACTGGAGTTTCCCCAAATGAAAACACATTACTTTAGCCCCTTGCTTCCCCCAAATTTTGTTTTCAAACTCATGGTGGTGTCTTTCATAGACGAGAACAATGGCAGCCGTGTTCCTAATAGTAAGAAAAATGAGAATAGCTGGAAATGAAAAAGGCTTTGGATCAGTATTAAATACACATTTTTAAGTAGTACTTGGATGGGAGACCCAAGGAAGTCTAGGGTTGCTACGCAGAGGCAGGCAATGGCAAACTACCTCTGAATGTCTGTTGCCTTGAAAACCTTATATGTGGTCGCCATAAGTTGACTACAACTTGATGAAAAAACAAACAAGTAGTATAAGAGTGTTATGTGGATGCCAGCTAAAGATCAGAGATGCACAGCCTCAAAGAATGGGTCTACTTAACCCTTTACTGTTTAAACCAAGTCCAGCCTGGCTGTCTCATTACACAGTATCCCAAATCTGCTGTAGTCCAGGGAATTGGGAGGTCTGACAGTACTGTCCTGTACTTTTTCTTGCAGTATGCAGTACCATTTATGCTGAACCAGTGCGGCTCACTCGTCTACTATCTTACTTTGGCTTCCACAGGTTAGTCCTTCTTTACCACTTTTAAAGGATGTAAGTGGGATTTGTGGAGGAAGGAAGAACTGTTCCATCCTTTAAACATCTTGTGGCCCACCCAGAAACTCCAGTGCCTGTAGTCTGGATTCTTGGGAATGTTCTTCTTGGGTAGAATTATAGAGTTGGAATGGAACTCCAGGGTCATCTAGTCCAACTTTGATTTTACATTTTTGTTAAGACACAACTGCATGGCCCAAACGGGAACAAATCAGTGGGTGAGTTTAGTACACCCCACCCCCCAGAGTCTCAATGATTATTATGGCTGAGCTGCTGTTCATATCCACCCCTCAACAGCACATGGCTTGCCTTACTTACTTGCCTGAGCCAGACTGGCAGAATTCCCACTGCAATGTGGTGCTACTCTGTTTCTGATGGATTCTCCCTATAACTGCAAGAAGCTTTACCTTCTCTTTTGTTGACTTAACAAAAAATTGGATCCATTTCAGACCTGACCTTGGCTGTGCCTCTTTGCAATTCTTTGGCTCTGGTGTTCACGGTGGCAACTGGGAAGATGCTTGGAGAAGACACTGGCAGTTCACGTAGGTCTCTCTCCAGATGCACACACAGCATCCCTCTTTACATTTTGCTACTTCATAGTTTCACAGACAGGATATGTTAAAGGATATGTTATTTTTTCCATTTTGCTATGAGTAGAACTACAAGGAGGAAGCCTGTAAAGTCGTGTGGGAGACGATCTTGGAAATTCTCCCCCCTCCATGATTCTGTAGCTTAAGCCTGACAACACAGAGGTTCTCTGGGTTAGTAGAAAAGCAGACAAGGAACTTGAAATCTCTCCTGTCTTGTATGGGGTTGTACTCCCCCTGAAAAGCCAAGTTTGCTGCTTGACACATCAGTCACCTTAGAAAACCAGGTGGTTGCGGTGGCTTGGAGTGCTTTTACCCAGCTTCAGCTGCACCCATTCCTGGTTCAGGCAGACCTAGCCACGGGGATCCAAGCCTTAGTTACATCTAAACTGGAAGATTGCAATGCACTCTACTTGGAGCTACCCTTAAAGAATGATCGGAAGCTGCAATGAGTGCAGAATGCTGTGGCTACTGGTTGGGGCCAGCTAACAGGAGCAGGTGATCTCAATACTACAGCAATTACACTGTTTCCGAGCCCAATTCAAGGTGGTGTTTTTGTCTTTTAAAGCCCTACATAGCTGCTATATGTTCCTGCCTCAGCTGCTCTCAGTGTTTATGCCAGGCGTGGCCAAACTTGCTTAGCGTAAGAGCCACATAGAATAAACGTCAGATGTTTGAGAGCCGCAAGACATGAACAAATATTATATACATGCTTTTATTGAAAAATATGCAAACTTGCTTTTATTCATATTAAATTGCTTTAGATGGGGAGGGAGGGGAGAAAGGTGGAAAGAAAGCAAATAGATGGGGGAGGGAGGGAGGGAGAGGTGGAAAGAAAGCAACTTTAACGTTAAATGTGTCCTCCAAGCCCCCCTTCACCCCCACGCCTGCTAGCTTTGCTTGGAGAACGGATTTAAAGAAACAAATGCCTTCTCCAAGCCGGCTGGCGGGGGGGGGGGGGCTTTGAGAATGCATCTAAAGTTCAAGTTGCTTTCTGTCTCTGCACTGGCTGGGGAAGGGAAGACCAACTGGGGAGGCATGCCTCCCCTTTGCTTCCCCAGCCACTAGTGGGAGTCGCACAATATGTGTGAAAGAGCTGCATGTGGCTCCCGAGCCACAGTTTGGCCACCCCTGGTTTATGCAGCAGGAAAATATGTAGACTTACCAAGGAGAAGTGTCTTTTAAAAAAACGAATTAGACAAAAGTCTTGTTTTTCTTCATACCCGGCAAACAGCTTGACCTTGCCTGTGGGCAGCCTGGTTTTAAGAGTCTCACACTTGCCATGAGGGCTAGCCACTTCAGTACAAGATAAGCAATGAGCACCTTCATAATTTGGGCTTATTTCCTGCTTGTTTCACTAGGTGCTGCCCTGGGAATGCTGCTGACTGGCTTGGGAGTCGCTCTGTGCATAGCTGAGTCTGTGAATGAGAAATCATCAGGAGAGGATCCCAGAGTCAATGGTTAACGATGGCCAAGGGACAGGAAGCTCTGGCTCCACTCCCATCGCCTTGTTATGAAGTGGAGGAGCTCACCAGAGTCCACACACACTAGAGAATTTGAGGTTTGGCAGGAATGTATTATGTTCCTCCTTTCCTGATGCTTTTTGGAGCCTTTACCTGACTTACATAGAGCCCTGGAAGAGCTAAGTTTGGACTAGAGCATTCCTATCAGACAGTGAGGAATTCAGGAATGGGAGAACAAAACCTATCTGTAGTCAGTTCTAGCATGGAACATGTTGATCGGTTTACTTGGTACTGGTGTTTTTTGGTAATTAAATTTAAGTCACAATTGTGAATCTTCTCTCTTTACAAAAAATCTTATCAAAATCCATGGCTGTGGGGGAGGGGGTGGAGCAACTCTGGGGAATGGCAGATGTGTGAAATTAGAGCTCCAGCCTTCACCTCCTCCTAACCTCTTTTAAAAGGACAACTTCGATTAACATTTGAATCCATGTGATGGGACAATCTGCTGGCAACAAAAATAAACCTTTTACGAGAAACACTGCAACTATGAAAGCCGGCACATTCAGGCTCATAGGAAAAAGCAAGTCCTAAAATGGCGGACACTCTGCAATCCACGGAAGAAGAGCAAGCACCATTATGCAAAAGAGATCTCATGGACTTAAAAGAGGATCTGCATCAGTTCTTCTCAGATAAAATTACACAAATGCTTCACCCGATTCAAGTCCAATATAATGAATTAACTGACAACCTGAAAGAAACTGCAAATACAGCAGAGACTGCAATTGAACTAGGACTTACCTTGCAAGAAGAGGCAAAAACTTTGCACTGAGAGGCTGTTTTTCATGAAAAAATTATAGCATTAGAAAATCAGTGGCATCAATACAATATAAAACTGCATGGGATTGATGAGAATGCAGAAGGCAAGGCTTCTGGTTTTGGCGTTCGCTATGGCAGTCGCTCTCCTGGACCTCCAGGAGACGATTGCCAGAACCCGTGACTGGGTGGGGGTGCGATTGTCCACATCCCCAACGGAACCCTTGCTGATGGGTTCCAAGCCATGGGGCACTAGACGGCTTCTCTGCTGGCAATCCTGCCGGTGAAGGGGGGGCCATCCATGCCCTGACGGTCCTGCCGCAGAGTTTCCAGATCAAACTAGAAGCGCACACCAGATCAAGCGCCGAGTGATCTAGCGATTTGGCAACATAAGCGAAATGGAAATCATCTAATCATTGAACTGTGAGATAAGTTGAAGCGAGAACACCAAAAAGAGCTAAAGCCGCCCCGCGGGAAGCAGAGAGGGGAGGGGACTCTCCTCCGATAAGACAGACTTAAAGCGAATTCTATCGTTAAAGCGGGGGGGCAGGCTTTCAAAGCAAAAAAGACTGAAATAAAAGACTTTGCTTAACAAGCATAACTGAGAACTTTAGTGACTCTGATAATTTTTGACGAAAAGTAAACAATTCCTCAAAAATGGCGTCTCCTACAAGGAAAGAGGAGAAGGAGAAGATAGTGAAAGCTAAGGCTACCGGAAGTGCCAGCCTAGCTAGTGTTGTGCCCAGACAGGACACAAACTCAGACCTTGAAAGGATATTAAATGAAGCACTACACCCTCTGCTGGAACAAGTGACGGAGATAAACCAAAAGCTGAATATGCAGCAAGCTCAAATTAACAAGACTGTCAAAAAAATAGACCAAACGGACCAGCAACTTAAAGAAGTGGACACCAACAGCAAAAAGCTGCAAAAACAAATGCAGACAATGGAGAAGAAGCGACAAACAGACAAGTCCCAACTGCTACAATTACAAATGGAAAAGGCAAGCTATGTCCTAAGGTTTCAGGGAATTTCTGAGAAAAAAGGGGAGAATCTCACACAGACAATGTGTGGAGCATTGGAGCAAATGTCAGACATTAAAGCGGATACTTTGCAAAATGATATTGATATGGTCTACAGATTGTATACAGAATTTACAATAACCTGCCAGGAGAAGTGATGGTGAGATTCTCCAGAAGGGAACGTCAGAGATAAAATTCTTAAAGCGGCTAATGGAGTTACCCTGAAAATCAAGGGCAAAGAGATAAGGTTTTAAAGGATATTGCATTTGAAATAAGGAAGAGAGGGCGCAAATATGAAGACTTGGTCGCATTTCTACAAAAGAAACAAATTGTCTACAGATGGATTCTGCCTGAAGGAGCCATCTTTAAGTTTGTAAATGGAAAAGAAAAAATTGACACTGTGGAAAAAGCAAATGAATTCCTGCATCTTCAAACAATATATATATATTATATAAAAATGTTTAAAATAAGCTTTCTTGGGCTTTTTATGAAGTCATAGTAGACGATGTTTAATTTTGAGTGGAAGTTTAATAGAAAGATGATGAACACGTTCAATGATTTTATACGAATACCTAGCTATATAAGCTTGTAATCTTGTTAAAGCAATTTGTATGACACCCACTCTTGGGTTTTTAGAGGTATCTTTTCTTTATCCCTTATTTTTTCATGTAGTGTTTAGTTATAGAAAATGCAATAAAAATCCCCTTCGGGGGGCCAAAAAAAGAGAGAGAGAATGCAGAAGGCAATATTGATCTAGCTACATTTATTTCATATTGGCTAATAAAAGTGCTAAACCTAGAAAATGGTCTTGCTCTGGTAATAGCTAAGGCTTACCATCTGGGTCCACGTGCTTCAGCCTGTGCTAATTGTCCTTGAGACATTTTAATCTAATTAAAATATTGTGTTAGGCAAGAACAAAAAGAGACCTCTGCAATGACAAAAAAATGTTGCTGTGCTGCCTGATCTCCCTCCAGAGGCATTAGAGAAGAGAAGAAATCTCAAGCTTATTACATCGACTCTCATGGACACCAAAATGCCTGCTTTAGATGGAGCCCCACCTCTAATATTCTTGTATTTCATGATGGAACTTTACATCAAACCTCAGACTTGGAATCCGGAAAACAATTTCTATCAACTCTAAAGCTGCAACTCCTCCCAGAAGACGAATGGTTAGCTGCAACAGTGGAAAAAGCAACCCGTTCACCTAAGGCTAAGTAACTTCAGAACATTTGAATCAGGCCCTCTGTTTTTTCACCTACTGTTTTATTTACTTAGTTAATAATTATAGAAGTTAAAAGTTTGGTCGAAACTGAGATCTTGCATATATTGTTAGGCTACCTCATGTGTTTACCTGTTAAACATTCACTTTTTGGATGTTGCATAGCTGAAATTTGATATGTAAACAGTAAGATCTGTTAAAGTATTAATTCTTTACATATAGTTAGCTACAGATGTGTGCTAACCAAATTAAAAATGTTTTTGCTATCCTGGTTTATTAAAAGAGTTTATCTCTATATTAACTATGGGTAACATAACAAAGTTCTATATAATACAAGGGGATGGGGACCAGGGGGGAGGAAAGTTATTTCTTTTCTTCTTAGGTATTCACACTCCCTCTATAGTAGTTAGGTTTCTGGACAGGGAGAGTTGAACTTTTACTCCCTGAGCCCTATTATTAAAATAAGGCATTGTGAAACCAGCCCTGGATAAGGGGCTAGAATAGGCTGATATTTAAACAGCAGTTATATCTCAAAAGTTAATAATATTGAGTTTATTTTGCTTAGGTTTTTTAATGTGAAGATGATCTTAGAAGTATTATTTGCACACTTTACCAAAATCTTTCTATCTGTGTTACCTTGTAATGTAGGTCATAACCACTCAATATATAAAGATAACATACTTTAAAGCTTGTACCTGGAACTGCAGGGAACTTAATAACCCAATAAGCCTTAAAAGAATTTCAAGTGCCTTAACTAAAGAATGACCCAATTTTTAATTTTTACAAGATACCCATTACAAGACAGTGGTTAAACAAGTTTTAAAATCCAATTAGTTTATGTATAATTTCCAAGCTCCTGGCTCCTCTAACGCTAGAGGAGTTGCAATACTGATTTCTAAAAATGTACCTTTTGGAGGCGCGTGGCGACGCCGACAAGGATGGCTGCCTAAAACGGTCCCTCCGTGACACTCCCTGCTCCCTTGCAACCCACCCTTGAAATAAACGCATTTTTCGCCCTCCTATCATGGGGGAAAACGATGGCACAAGTCTGCAAAAGAACTTGACAAGGCCAAATCATAAACCGATCAACAACAGAGAAGGTAAAATAGAAACTGTAGCCAACGCTAGAGAAGCAACCAAGATGGCTGAGGGGAACGATCTTGAAAAACTCTTAGACTCAGCCTTTAGCAAACAAGATCTACCGACACTTCTTGAGTGCATGGAAACAAGGCTAGGTGACAAGATACAAATGTCTATGTTACCAATTAAAGAACAATTACAAGAAATCCAAACGACATTAACGGCTGACGTGGCGTTGAAAATGAGCTCCAGTAAAAAACGAAACGGGTGAGCATGGAGCCGTCGTCATCTTCTAGTTGTTCGGTCGCCATTTTGTGGTCCAATAAAGGCGAAAGGCCTGTAGGTTGCTTGAGCTGTTCCCGGATCAGAAATTTGGTCATCTGATGTGGGTTGTTCGCATTTCTCCATGCTCGAGAAGCTCCTGTTTTACCCATTGTGTTTTTTGTCCAGTTTGGGTTCGGTGCTGCAGTTGTAAGGCGATATTGGTGGGAAGGGTGGAGGAGACCGTTCTTTAAGCAACTGCCATTATCGGCCGCCAAGCCATGCCCCCTAAATTTGTATTTTTATCTCAAAATATCCCTATTAAGCTCCCCTTGAAAGAATTAAAACAATGGCAAACCAAATTGAATAAATTTATATGGGCAAACAAGAAACCAAGAGTTAATTCTTTTCATTGACCAGACCTTCTAAATTTGGCGGAATTAGTTTCCCTAATTTAACAGCCTATTATGAAGATGCACAGCTCAAGAATATATTATTTTATTTTTCCCAATGTAATGAAAAGACATGGGTTCAAACTGAGCAATCATATCTGTCCCCCTGTTTATTGCGAGAAGTGATGTGGAACAAACCTATTGACAGATCCAAATCTATATTAGCTAATCTATATTTAACTAACACTTTATATTTTTGGAACAGATACAGAAAATTGTTAGCTCCAGATACCA